AGCAAAATAAAAGTTGGGCGGGGGATTAACAGAGCAAAATAAAAGTTGGGCGGGGGATTAACAGAGCAAAATAAAAGTTGGGCGGGGGATTAACAGAGCAAAATAAAAGTTGGGCGGGGGTTGACAAATATACGAGACTGGATGCACCTGACGGCAATCACGTCCAGAGCGGACTAGCTGAAGAAGTCCTACCCGTGGTGTGAGTACGCCCTCGGACATCTGTCTAAGTATAGACACTGCAGTTAACCTCAGGAGGAGGGCCTGGCTCCACACTGCAGACTAACCACTCGTTTAGGGCCAAAACGCTCAAATGCATGTTGACACAGAAAGTGGCAAGATGCATCCGTTGCTATGAATAGCAACAAATGCATCTGGCCACTTTTTGAGGAAGATGCACTAGTGCTTTTTTCGTTTCGACAGTGGTGTGGCGACGCCCTTAACCTCAGGAGGGCCTGGCTCCACCCTGCAGACTGACCACTCATTTAACCTCTCAAGGTCAGGCTAACCACTCGCAATCTACCAATGAATGCATCTGAACATGGTTTTGTGCAGGATGCACGCAGAATCTTGGCGGATGGCGACCCACAGTGCAACTGGTAGCCCCTAAATTAAATATATTAAATATATTAAATATATTAAATATGTAAAGCACAGATTACGGGCCTCTCGCTGCACTAATCTCCAGATGCACAAACGACAAAAACAGATGCCAATGTATCTTTCCATGTTCTGGCGGAGTATTCAGTCTCATTTTGCACATTCGGAGACTAGAGCAGCCAGGCCTTAACAATAGTCGAGTCAGAAGTAACGACGTCAACGACATCACCGACCTCGGCGACAGCACAGCACAGCGCGGGCGATTACATACAAAACGACAAAGCAACAGCGAAAAACAACACGAAATTCAAAACAAAACAAAAAAGGAAAAAAAAAAACGAAAACGAAAACTTGGCGTCCCGCGTCAACACTTGGCGGGAGTTTCTTTGCAGCAGCTCAACGCTACCGCGCCGACATTTTTTTTTTTTTTCTGAACTTCGTAACGAGGTCCCAGAGGCGAATTGACTGTGTTGCTCTGGGCCTCGCTCCACTGCTCGCGAAATGCACAAAACGACAAAAATCATGGCGATGTATCTTTGCATGTTCTAGCGGAAGATTCACTCTCGTTTTGCCACATTTCGATCGACAGTAGTGGAGCGGAGCCTCAGCGAGGCCCTGTGGCGCTGGTCGGCTGCGTCGGGGCGTCCTAAGTTGTCCGCCCCAACCAGGCAGCGCACGCACGCGCTGCTACCAGCCCTTCTTCCCCCGAATACAACGTACGGTCATTATAGCTGTATTTGACGCAGCTTTCAGTCTATATACGGCTAGAATGACCGTACGTTGTATTCGGGGGAAGAAGGGAAGTTGGAGCAAACGTATGCATCGGCTCTGAGGGCGTAGTTTGTTTGTTTGTTTTTCTTGTTTTTGTTTTTGGAAGATTTTCTTTTTTTTTGTAACAAACACAAGTCTTTTGGCAAGTGCCTTTTATTCGATCAATGTACTCATTAACTGAAGACTAGACACTGTAGACTAGCCCTTGGGCTCCAATTTATTCGTGGGGAGCTGCACCTGCTGGAAACTGGGTCCAGGGCAACCCTATCGTGGAGATCTGGGGCCCCTCAGCCAAGGTTCAATGATCTCTCCGCCCGGCGATGCTCAATGATTCAATGATGATTCAGTGAGCTCTCTCTCTCTCTCTCTCTCTCTCTCTCTCTCTCTCTCTCTCTCTCTCTCTCTCTCTCTCTCTCTNCACACACACACGTTCTCTCTCCGCACCAAGGAATTCTCCATTCCCGCCTCCTCCCCGTCCAGGTACGAGCTTTTCCAACACTGTTGTCATTGTCCTCCTGCTCACTGCCTTTCATGTCGCCAGAATCCTTGAAATAGACTCTCCTGTCTTCACTTCTTTTCTTATATCCCAATAAAGTGTACCACCCAGACCTGCGTTATCAACTTCCCTTTCTTTAACCGCACTCCTCTGATTCCAATGATTCATGCCACCATTATCCTCCTCCTCATCATCATCATCATAGTCGTCACCGTTTTGAGGTGATTCCAACCATTCCAACAATTCTTTATCGCCATCATTGTCGCCATCCCCTGTCTTCTGATTCCAACGATTCATATCACCATTATAATCATCATCATCATCATCATCATTATTATCCACATCATCATTATCATGATCATCATCACGATCATCATCATCATCATCATCATCATCATCATCATCATCATAACCATCATCATGGTCGCCACGGTTATGATCACTCCCTGAACCGGGAGTATCTTCCCGTCTATTCCTCAGATGGACATCATGCGCTGTCAATGGCTCACCATTACCGTTTTGAGGGCAATGGCACTGCCCTATCACACACACCCATCTTAGTTCACACCCACAGTTCAAGCACCGCACGTTTAACTCCATAAGAAGTCTGCGGCCGTTTCTTCAGAGTCACGGTATTCTTAATCTGCCTGAGCTCCTGGCTTTTCCGAAGAATCGCCTTTTCTGAAGAATCGCTCCTGACGACTGACTGTTCCTGGCTGTCGCTGACTCTCACATTCCTTCTTCTAGCCACCGCTTAATCATTATCTCCCCCACTGACTCCTTACTACCCCCAATTTCTTGCCACCACCGACACCTCCTTTTCAAGACTCTCCCCGCCAGCCGACCACTGCAGACGAATGCCTGCTATTGGCAGGTTCCAAAGCTCCTGTCTTCTTCTGCGTGTCCAGCCCTTGATTCCTACCCCGATCTTGATGCTTCCTCTGCGGCTCACAAATGTCTCCTCTGCAAAGATTCCTTATCCAGCTTCGCGACACAAGTAGCCACACTTGACCAATCCTTCGAGAAGAATCTGATACTATTGGTCGTAGAATCTTGCAGCAGAAAAGGACAAAAAGCTTCAAGAAAAGGACAAAACTTCAGCGAGGACACCATCTGTGCCTCTCCCACCTGCTAGATCGAATGGAAATCATGCTCAGCTGAGCCGGGATGAGACCAAATGCCACCGCTGCCACCCAAATCCAGACTGAGCTACATGAGATGTACGACTCCCTTTGAAACACAGTTCACGCCGTCACCTACAGCCCTACCGGGCGGAAAATCGTTGAAAGGAAACGCCTCCTTACAGGGAGGGAAGCAAATCCTTCGCAAGTTCCGCAACCTGTACCAATGGCGGCAAAATCTGACCGTGCGGCCAAAGGATACCGACGGTGAGATAGAGAGCTCACCGTGATTCCTCTACCTCTCCTTGGCCACAGCTTTCCATAAAGCGCACCTGCTTCAGCACTCTTTAGCTCGGAATGTTCGTTGTGTTCACGGCACCTTGTGCTGTGTATCACCTGCCAACTCCACTTGCTACTAACCACCCTTCTATCCCATTGCCTGGACAAGTCCTGTCACTCGTGCTCGAGCATACCCATAGCCCGAAAGCTTCGTGACCCGCCTTCCACGTGCTATGCGCCCTGTGGCATGGCGGCTGAACCCCGTGTTACACCGTGAAACCCTAAACTCATGTTGCTCGAACGCGTCACGGAAGCAGAGCGCTCTGGCGCCGGCATCCCGTGTTGTCCTCCCGCCGCTTTTCGTTAATGGTCCCTATCTGGCAGGAGCCATTTAGAGAGGACAAGCTTTTGCTCGGGCGATCCCCCTTAGCCCAAGTGTTACGAAACCAGAGCTTATCTGCTCTTTTAAGTTTGGATCCGGTCTGCTCTTATAGGCGTTCTGATGTTCGCCAGAGCTTGCTGCTTCTGCTGTTTTAGTGGAGTTGGTTCGCCTCGAAAGACTTGGTTATTATGGGCTGACCAGATCACTTGCATTATCGCACCTCTGCAAACCAGGGCAACATAGCCCCACCCCGCCGTAAGTGGTATGTGTGGAGGGTAGTTGCCAAAGATGATCCAGTTGTCCGACCAGGGGAAGGCATCTTCTATGATCTTTGACCAATGCAACCTCCACCATGCCCATAACTGGTGGGCAAACGGGCATTCGAGCCACAGGTGTATGTCTGTCTCCCATTCCCAGTGGCAGGACTTGCACTCTTCGGAGATGCTCATATGCCTGGAGCTCAACCAGGAAGCTGAAGGAGTCAGCTGCATGGATTGGGTCCACATTATGCTGGCCTGCTTCTGCGAAGAGATTTTCTTCAGGGTTGCCCACAGTTTAAACAAATCCAGATTCCCCAGTCCATCTCTGGGAATTCGGCTTATCTTCTCTGTAGCTCTTACGATTGGTTGTTTCTTCACAGCCACCTATAGTCGAGCCACTCCTATCCTATGTATCACCCGCGGTCGTGACCGAGGGCCATTTGACCGCACGCGGTCGGCATCCCGACCGCAGCGGGCGACCGCCCATGGCCAAGTGCGGTCGGAAAACCCCGACATTTTTAAATCCTAGGATAATAGGCCAAAAAGAAAAAAAAAGGGGGTTGTAGGTTTTTGTGCGCTCTCCGCCAAAAAATATGAATACCCCACGGAGTGGAGGATTGGCTGTCTCCATAATATTGTGGAGGATTGGCTGTCTGTTTCAGCCTTACGTGAGAAGGTCCCAAAAAGTAATAGGCTTGTATTCAATGAGAGGTGTCACAGGCCCAGTCGTGTCCTTCCATCCATGGAGGAGCGGCTCCACCAGAAGTTGGCCTACGTCCAGTTTTAATAACCGATATTTAGGTCGCCTCCCTATGTTCGAATCCGCCCACACCCGGACTTCCTCCAGGTCCTCCAAATCTGTCTCTATTCTTTCCTCAGCTCTGGCCAGCATTGACAGCAACCCTCTATCCTTGGTGATTTTCCACGTCTGGACTTTAGATCCTTGGCTGAGGCTCGGGCCCAGGACTTGCCATACTTGTCTGGGATTTCTGGCAGCCCTCAGCCAGGTGCCTGTTGCCCTGGCCTGGTTGTTTTTTAGGAGTGGAGTCTTGGGAGCTTCTGACGTAAGGCTGAAACAGACAGCCAATCCTCCACTCCTGGGTCCCATAGATCCCGTACCTGACTGATTCCTTTTTCCACCCACGCACGGCCAAAGGAGCCCGACGAGCCCTCTGCCATGAATGCACTCCCATCCGGTTGCTTGATGTATGGATTCTCGAAGATGATTTGTCTGAGCACTTCGTCCCTTGTGTTTGGCTGTTGTAATGCCACTGGTTTGAGTTGGTTCCATGCATACAGTATAGTATTCCTCCAAAGTCTTGATCTTGGTTTCCTTTGTGCGTAGGAGGGTATTAGCATGCTAAGGGAGGAAAGCAAGCCAATGGTGAACCAGGAGGGGCTAGTACCTTGACAACCTATGGGGTGGGGTTAGTCTGGGTAGTGAGGAGAGATCAGCTATGGCAGTGGGGGGATAGGTTTGTCTGGTTCTAGAGTTGCAATATCCTGGTAAGGGAGGGCTTGGAGTTGTTCAGGATTAGGAGTCCAGTATGGCTGACTCAGCATGTGTAGCTACATTTTTTTGTCATCACTGGGCCAGGCATCATTAGTGTCATCAGCATTAGAATTTTCTATTCTCTGTTTTTTCTCAGCCGAAGCCGGATAATGACCCCGGGTTACAAACTGATGTATGTTCATATGGGACGCTGGGCCCGGTTCCCAGCACGTGCTGCTCCCCATGAATAGACTGGAGCTTCTTTCTGTCAAAAAAAAAAAAAAAAAAAAAAAAAAAAAGCATACAGATCCGTGGGTTTGCAGCCGGGGTCCTCACAGTTTACCCGGAAAGAGAAACCATGAGTCCTGGAACAATACCTGGCTTCGCTTATACATGAGGTAATCAGGACTGGGAGCAGAAGGAGGAAATACATGGGAGTTAAGCTCAGGCCCTCAGAGTCTCAGCTACAGAGTGAGTAAGCTGTCTAATATAGCTGTGTACTTCAAGGTCTGGTAGAGTGGTGATCGCAAAGAAGATCCGAATAGAAGAGTCTGTGATTATATGAGAAATCTGCCCATTGGAAGGGAGAGGCCCACTTCTTGCGAAAGACCGAGATGGCAAGCTCCTTGGAGGCCGAGTGTTTATTGAGTTTTGAACCAATCCGCAGTTATGTCCAATCGAAGGGCGTGTTTGAACTGTGCGATTAGTGAGGGCAAGGGGTTGTTAAACCACCAGTACTTGGCCCAGCTATCGGCAGCCGGAAAAATTAGAGTAGAAACGTTTCTCGTCGGATGAATTTGGGCACTCCTGTAGTAGCCCGTACGTTTCCTAAAATCGTGGCGCGTTAACGGGCACGACTCTAGGAAGTACTGGTGGTTTAACTGATAGGAATCTCCTGTCTCTTCTGGCTATCCATAGCTGCCAGAAAGCCCTTGCTCTGAAGATTAAGGACACCGATTCGGCCTGCTGTTTGTGAAATTCTGCTTGCACTCTTCCGGTGATGACCATATTCTTTCTTGTCCCAGAAGTCCGAAGTACCATATGCCTGTAGCCAGATCTTCTTTAGAAAGTCCCAAAAGCCCCTAGCGATCACGCATTCCCACCACCCACAGGTGAAGCCCATCCTCTAAACTAGGGTGGGGACAAATGTCGCAGGTGTTTGAAATCTCCATTCCCCTCTCTGTGCACCATAGTGCTGTGGGGACACATGCGTGGAGGTGTAACCATTCTAAACCTCCTACTTTATTCTCTATGGTGGAGAGGAGACTGTGGATAAAGAAGAGAAGCCATTTTACAGAGATGGAAGAGAGGTTTGAAGGAGGTAGATTTCTGTTGGCATCTAAGAGACAGGCCAGCGTGCAGTGACCGAGAATTAGAGAAGAGTTTATATCCTGTCTTGGCAGTGTAATCAGCAATGGGGACTTTGGTAGGACAGCCAGAGTGGTTGTGAAGAACCCAACCGCACTAAGTCTTGCAGACATCGACTTTCCTATCTTTGTTAAGGAGCCGCATTCATGTCTTTTTTTTTTTTTTTTTTTTTTTTTTTTTTTTTTTTTTTTTTTTTTTTTTTTTTTTTTTTTTTT